CCGTGTTCAGGAGAGGGAATAAGCTGAAATTCTCTGGTGTCTGGAACAGTACCTTGGGAATCTATTAAATTTTGAAGTTTCTCCCACTGAGAGAGGCCTCAAGAGAGAAAATCACCCTCAGAAACATGACTTGGGGAATTCTGGGGAAAAAGTCCATAGAGGGCCAGAAACAGGAGGAACAATCCAGGTGCCGTGGGAGAGACTGGAGAAGATATCAGAGCCATACAGGGTCCAAGAAAAAGTGAATGAAACTTGACTTAGTAAACGCATCTTGCTCATGCTAGTCTTTCTGGGGAAGCTGACGAAGCCTGGGTCTCCCTGCCTCGGTTTCCCAAAGTACCATTTGTGCTGTGGAAAAGAAAAATGAGAATAATCTCTAACATTAGAGAGTCTAATGAGAAAGGAGAGCTAGGGGGAGTAATGGGAATTCTTTTTGTTCCTCTTTCCAAAGCTTTTCTTTGATCCTCAGCTTGGAAGGCTGACAATGTTTGTTTGTCATGCTAAGAACACAGCACTCAAAAGGATATTTGAATCAAAGATAATAAGCAAAGGAAGTATTCAAATGCACCATGATACATTGGGAGGACATTATGATGAGGAGGTTGCATAGAAGAAGCTGGGTTAGCATTTGGTGAGATCCTGACTTTAAATTTCAGGTTTTCCCCTTGCAGTTGGTACAGGCAAGAAAGCATTTCTTCAATATTTGTAAACAGGAAATCTGGAGGCACATTAAATCTGGAGGCACAGTTTACTCTTGCATGTGCTGTTCTCTGTATGAACTGATATTTTCATTACAGTGGCAAAACTAGCCTAATAAGATCCCTGTGAATTAACCTTTTATGAATACAGGTTGGGCATCAGTTATTCTTGGGAATGAACCAAACAAGCTCATTAAATCCTGAGTCTTCCTTGGGCTGAGCTCCCAGATACACTTTGAGAAAAAAAATGAAATCTGAAATCAACTGGGTTACCCTGCCCCATTGGCCATAGACTAATGGAGCAATTCAATATGGTAGCTTAGTTTTTCAGTTACAGTTCTCACACCATTAACTAATATTTGTTTTTAATCTCTTTATATTGATGCTATAAGCCATGGTATGCATTAATATATTGCAGGCAAGAAAGCAAACCAATGGATCATGAAAAAATTAACCCAGAGTTCTCACTTGAGGCACAAATGACCAGGATCCCATTATTCTAGTTTAGGTATTGTACATTATGCAAAGACCTAGCTCTCTGGAAAAGGCTCTAATACTGGGAAAGATGAAAGGAGAAAAAAAAAGAATACAGTCAGCAATGAGGGGAGTGAACTCAGTGGTGACAGGTGCACTGTTGGAAGAGCTGAGGTTAGAGACAGATCAAACACAGAGAAAAATCTATCTGTGTGGTTCCTAAGAGTTGACCATTACTTAATCAAATCACCCAGGAAACAATGTAAGCATATAGCCAGAGAAATCTTGTTAAAGTTTAAATGCTACACAATCTTTCTCCAACAGTGATCACCCAGTTGGGAATTGTTAAATGTATATTATAAATGGGAGTTTTGTTCCCTCATAAAATGTATTTTCAAACAATACAAATATGAATCAGCTATAGCAAAAATATGTTTTTACAATTGTTTGATAGGATTCTCAGCATTTTGACTATTATTATTTTATATGGCAATTCAAAACCATTATGTATAGTAGAATCTGTCCTTTCAACCACTCATATATCATAACAAGGTTTTGAAAAACACTTATGAATTGCATAACTGTCATGTATGCATGGAAGGTTTCTATATATTCAAAATTACACGAGTGATGGCTTCAAATCTATCAGAAATATATCTTTTTAAGATAGCAATATCACAATTGAACTCTATAACACAACAGTAGTGACCAATTTTGACAGACAAATCAGAACATAATGTTTTATTTTTGACGTGTCTTCAATTTTACCTTATATTATGATGCTGTTCTAAATTATACCCTTAATCAGAGCTTACAGTCTTCTTAGTTGTAAATGGGATATTGTAAAATTCATTGGCCACATTTTTTTTTTAAAAAAAGTAATGAAATCCTACTGAAATTAATGAGGTATAACCTGGTTGGAGCTAGTACATCCAGTTTGTAAATTCTACCTTTGAATTTGGCTTCCAGTTCCTTCCTAGCTATTTCTGACCTTTATTCCTAACTTACACGTGTATACTGCATATTCATGATTTTGTATGACTTAGTGTTTAAGCCTGCTTTGAACATGGCTTTAGCACTTGACATGCAGTATGAAGCACTGGGGGCATTTTAGGATGCTGCTGCTGTTATTATATTATTATTGTTATCCTTGAAATGGTGATAATGTTTGGGGGTGGCATTCTTTTTTACAAGACCGGTGCATCGAAATCTCATTTTAATATGTGCCATTCTGTATACAAGAGAATGACAATAACAGCTATCTTACCTTATGTGTTAGGTATCACTGAGTCAGGTTCAGCCTCCAGTGATTGCACTGGCAAATGCACATTATTTTAATGTATCTCTAATAATTTCTTGTAACCTTTCCCAAACATTCCTATATTCTCTTTGATGTTATCTATCTAGCTTACCTGTGGCCTTTATCTACCTATTCATAGCCTTTCCCTCAAGTTCGCCAAGCACAATAATTGTTTCTCATCCATAACCTGTTCACATCAGATGCTTAAATTCTGTTTGCTGATCATCACCTCAATAAAACACTCATTCTTTTATCCAGCATTGATTCTTGATGCCATGGGCTTAAGTCTATTTTGTCAGAACTTAAGCCAAATTAAATTGGTTTCACCTTGATCCTTATCTATCAAATATACTGATTATATCTGTAACTATATAAGCTATATTACATAAAATATATAAGCTCTATAACTGGGGCTATAGAGCTTACTGTATAAAAGTTAGAAAATTCAGTGCTATGTTTTTGAGGATGTGAGTACAGCATCTCATCTCACTGATGAACCTTTATAAACACTCTGCTAGTAAGCAGAATGGTCCATCCTCATCTTTCATAATAAGATGCCTTTCTTTAGCTATTTATGTTTGGAAGATTTCCTAATTTCTACCCAGGCCTTATTTAGAGGCAAATAAAAGAGATGGGCCTCATGTCTCACCTACAGCAACTTAATATGTACAGGTCCTGCTACCGCCATCCTCAATTTCCCTGCACTAAACAGAATACAGAAAAGTACAAGATGAACCCTTTCTGAGAATTCAGAATATTGCTAAAGCATGGTACCTCCCTTATTTATTTATTTCTTATTTATGTACTGTATATATTTATTCAATTACTATTCTTGTATGTTGCCCATTCCTGAAGGATCTAGATAGCTTACCATGAATCTCCCTCCCAACTCCAAATACAAATAAATCAGGGCTGATGAATGATTTATTCCAGGGATTTCATGTAGATGTTGAAATAAATGGGCACAGAATCCCTGAGGCATACCACAAAATTGAGATCTCCAGGTAAATCTCTTTTCACACCACAACCAATTGGAATTGGCCCCTCAGTATGGAGGAGAACCAAGTACTATTCTTCACTCAAGTCCCCTGAAGGTGATCCCGAATGATGGGCTGGATAGTAGTTTTGAAAACTACCAGGAGATCAAGGAGGACCAGGATGGTTGTACTCTCCCAATTTTTCTCTCTGCAAAAGTAATCAAGAGCATAACTAACAGTATCTAGGATTGTTGGATCAAGCGAAGACTTCTTAAGCGAGAGATATAACATAGCTTCCTTCAGAGAAAAAGGAAATGCCTTCTTATCCAATGAAACATTGACACCCATTTGAATCTAATCTCCAGTCACCTCAGTAGTCACCTTGATGACTATGAGAATAATAATAATAAAAAAAAACCAATGGAGAGTAGAATGTAGACTACAAAGGGCCTTATCCACTTCCCAGGGACTCACAGATTCAAGATGGAGTCTCATCATCTCCATGGATAATGTCAAAATCCAACTTCTTCAAAATGTAAATAAAAATTCAGGGTGAGGCTGACCTGCACAGCTCAATCCTGCTTATTTATTGTATTATATTCTACCCAGACATAACTTCTATATATAGAAGTGTGTTTATATTAGAGGTTTATTTTTACTTGATTAAAATCATCAAAAAGTAACTGTTAAAGTGCAAATACTAGTAACTAACTGAATAACTAAAAAGCTATATTGAGAAATTGCTACTTTAATCTTCTGTGAGAAAATTAATATAGCCTAATTCTCTAAATTATAGCAGGATATCTGAAGGACTGCATACCCCCCTTTCAGTGTCAGAAAAGACAATCTGCTGTCAGAGACCTAAGCAGCTGGTGGGTTTCTAAAAATAGAATTGAGGAAAGGAATATTACAAAGCAAACTCAAGGAACTCTTGGAATCACAAGATTTAAGACACAGTTACTCCCTCCTTATCCAGAAAAAAATAGAAAAATAAGCTATGTCATCCTAGAGCTATCATCACATTGTAGAGCAGTTAGAGAACATAGGAAGCAGAGGAACTACCACATACCACCCAAGGTAGAAAAAGGGGGACTGCTATGGTAAATTGTTCAGCTACTGTAATAATTCAATAGGATTCAAGGCTTATATAAGCCAAAAACCTACTCATGAGATTTTTGTTTTGTATGTTTCTGAATGATCCTACTACTCTGGTTATGTCTCCCTCAAGCTAAATGTTATTCACTGTAAAATTAGTCACTTTGAAAAAATTTCAACTATGAGGGGGGAAAAAGCTAGGTTTTAATTATGAGAAATTTGGGAAACACCACTATAGGATGTACTACAGTAATGAAAATATTGATACTATCTCTCATGATGTATCTATTTTAATTCAGTGACAGATGTTGCAAATTATGTGTTCATTCAAACAACTGCAATGTTTTGCCTCTGGCATATAAAAATTATTTCTTTATTCTGGTAGATTAGATCTTGAAGAAATCTATAATATAGGATAGGTCTAACCAATATATTTCTGACTAAGGTGAAGTCTCTTCCTTTTCTATATGGAAAAATCAAATGGACTAGATTAAATCTGAAGGATATAATTGAAGTGGGGCAATGCACACCACTAAAGAGGAGGAAGTAGATAAGGAAAATATGACACATTCAACACTATCTTCCTTGTTATTCCCATTTCCAAACATCTGATCAAGATGATTCAACATAAAGATAGCTATTTATCATTTCAGCAAATACTGGTAATGGGAGGATTCCAGATATTGTTTAGATATCCTTTTATAGCTCCACTTTGCAATGACATAATATGAATATCTTATATTGTTGCTACTGCATTGGTGCATTACATTGAGTTGACCAACTTAGCAATAGGATTTACAGAATGTGCTTTTAGATCATTTCTGATAACTCCATCTATTTAGATAATAAACTATACCAGTCTTTCCCAATTTACATTTTTCAGAATAAAATCCCCATCAACCCCTGCCCTGTCTAGGATCATTTGAATTAAAGACTATAGCATCCTGAAAAGAGCAATTTGAAAAAAAAAATTACTCTATTCCTATGTCAAAATATATGGAAATCCCATTATATCAAATTATGTTTACTTACATCAGGACATAATTGATGAGAGATCAATTTGTTGCCAATCCAAATAAAAATAAGACAATATAAGCTATTGTACAGCTTAACATATAATACAAAAGACAAAAGAAATCCTATTCATTTCCATTGCAGAAGGAAACTAAAAGCTGTTCCCTTAAATGAAAGAAAAAAAAATATCTAGCTTTAAAAAAAGGCAAAATAACAACAAAATGGAAGCATGTTATCAGGCAGAAATGTTTAAGAGGGGGGAAGATTATAAATTTAAATAAGTAGCAATTTAATGCTTGCATCATTACCTTTCCAGGACACAAAAATTGAAGGTGGCTTGCAGAAATGTTGCATTCACCAACAGTAGTCAGGTTTTGTTTTTAAAGAAACCAGCTGAATATTATTAATCTTGAATGTAATCTGTCACTTGACTAGATAATTCTAGTGTCCCCTTATGAAAGAAATAAAATACCTTGGATTGAATAAAACAGGAGAAATTTACTCTGCCCCCATTTAATTACCCAATAGCTCTAAGCTTACAAACAGAGCTAATTATGTAATGCCACAACCAACCAAACAGAATTAGTTCTTCCTGTAAGTAGGCCCTCTACAGATCCACTGCAATTCTGATATATTTCAGGAAATTGTAAGCATGTTGGCATTGCTTTGTTTACTTAAAATATTGTTACTATTACTGCACCACGGACTTTATTGTGCAACAAAAAATATACATAAAGAGACAAACTTTTCTTGGGGATGGAAGGGTACTTTTTTTCCTCAAAATTTGACTTTCTTCAATTGAAGAACCCCATTTCAAATGAGAAAAGGGCACTTTTTTCTACAGCAACTGTGTACATCTTGAGTATATCGATATTCAGCCATTGTTGTCATTACGCTTCCAAGTTGCTCAGAGATCTAAAATGTTCCATATTTGGGGAATGATCAAGATAATTAAGTTGTTCTTTCAGATTCTATTTCTCCATAAAGTTCGGCTAGCTTCTTGAACTCTGGTCCCCAGTCACCAAGATAATTATAATCCTGGTCAGAATGTGTTGTTGCTGAATCCAAAGAGCTGATAGATCCAGCTTCTGACCTTTGACCTTCATATGCATATGTCTGTAGAGAATCATATGGGGGCACACTCGGATCAAGGTCTGCTTCAGCCAGCCTTTGCCTAATAAATTCATGAACATCTATGTTGTCAAGATGAGATGAAGTGGGATGTTTGGTTGCAGGCTTCACTTCAGGCCGAATATCCCTCCGGAATTTCAATTCTTCAGCAGCAGATGGGTTCCGCAGAGCAGTAATGTCAAAAGCTTCTGTATCCTCCTCACCTCCACCCTCATCATCATAAGTGACAACATTTTCCCGGACATCCTCCTCTGAAATTACCAGAGGCTCCTTTTTGCTGCGTTTTAAAGTGATGAACAGGACCACTATTGCTGATGAGAAAATTCAGAATAGATATTAGTAGGACTGCCGTTCTAGTTGACTGATTAGCTGCATTTTGGCAGAATTATCTATTATTACATTCATTTTAGCAGGAGGGGGGTTGGCCGAGTTATCTATTATTTTATTCATTGACTAGGCTGAAATTAATTTTTGCCTTAGTGGTACAGCAATGTAACTTTCTCTTTGAGATAATTATAACTCCAAGATAAAATAGTATTTTCCTATCAATTAAATGATCACAAAATATCCAAGTATGTTCTGGAATTAGATATTCAATTTCTGGGCCAGAGTTGGGCAATTTGAGGCATAATGATAAATACAGGAAAGATAAGATACTATAATATTTCTCAAGAAAAAATGTAATAATTTCCTTTTACTGATCTATTATAGTAGCAAAAGAAGACCCACAGATATTAAAAGTAAATCCCTCCTATTGATTAAATAATCCCCTTCAACCAACCTACAAATGTCTTGATTTATGAATGTACTGAAATATTTACATTACTAGAAATTAAACTTTGTGGCTGACAGGAAAAATGAACTCATATATTTGCACTAGCATTTTACTGAAAAATTCCTTGTAACATATAGTATATACATTGATATTTATGTGATATTGGTATATCCACAGTATTTGCCTCTAATCATAAAGTGTTCTGAGAAAAAGCATTTCCAAGGACATTTAACTAATGAAATGGTCTTCTTGCTTCATCTGTCCCTTGTTCCTCTTGATGAGCCTTTGACTGTTATCAGTTCATCCCACAGAGAGATAATTAGCAAATGGCTTTCTTATTCTCCTTTTCTTTCTTCTGGCAGGGGATCCATTTCAAAAAGACTCTCTTCATCTCTTTTTCTTTTTCCCTGAGTGTTATTAGCTTGCAACCCGAGTTGGTGGTTTCCTGAAATCTTACCTGGTAGATCGATAATGCTAATTACTTACTGACCTCTGCAAAATTAATTCTGCTGGATGCCAGAAGCTCAGCCATTTGCTTTAAAGATTTCCCTGTCCTATCAATTTAGTTCAAGCTTGGAATTATTCATTTTTAAGCCAGAACCCTGAATTTCTAAAAACTGCTTATCAGAAACAGTTCCTAGTTCAGTTGTTATTTTTCTTAGTGTTCGCCTCACATGGTTGCAAATTTTCATTTCTGCAGCACGCTCACCTAGGTGTTATACTGAACCTATTAAGGAAGCATTTTGATGATAATTTGACTTATTGCAGAGTCTGATGCTGAAAAGAGTTGAGAGGGAATGACTGGCCGAAGATTTAGGATTAGACCCTGGGTCTCCCTACTCCTAGTCCAGGACCTTAACCACTGCATCACACTGGCTCTTGCAGCTCCTGGTTTAGTACTGCAACTCACACTGCTATTGGGATTATCTGAAGGTTCCAGAAAGGACACTAATTGAGGACTTACCCAGGAGAATGACAACACATAGCAGGATAGCAATTAATGCTCCTGTACTCAATCCTGCAGACGAGAGGAAAGCTTCTGCATGGCAGGTCCGCACACGGCCATCTCTTTCACATGCACATACCCGAATGACAAGAGTGGCACTACTGCTAAGAGGTGGGACCCCTGCATCAGAGATGACAATAGGAAGGTAATATACATCTTGGATAGTCCGACTAAATCTTCTCCTTCGGGTCAAGATGCTGGCTGTATTATCTGTAGGAGCAAGGATGAAATCAAAGTAGTATTAACAAAGATGATGCAAACATACTTAGGATACATATTATCTTTCATTATGTTTTTCATTTTCAACTTCTTGTGACTATCCTGGTAACCATTAGATACACCCTATAGTAAACTCTGGAATTCCCTGGATATGAAAGCCTCCTGATGTGTTTTGGGTCATTTTATGGATCCTGGGATGCTGTGAAAAAGGGCAAGGCTCACTGAAAACTGATCCTTTCTTTGAGATCTAACATGAATATGCATTTTCTTAGTTCAGATCCACAGGACTGAAGAGAAAAGGGTGTTGAGAGTGAAATGAAGGGAAGTGTCCTAACCCCAAAACACTGACATAAGACTTATATGATACACCTTTAGCACTGGATAAGATGGTGGAAACTAGTTATTTTGTTGAAGATAATTCAGAACCTAAAAAAAAATTCTGAAATTAAAAATAATTCAAAATATAAACAAACCAATATCTTTGACCTGTTCTAATCCAGTTATACTTGATAATTAACATCCTTTCTTTAGCAGGACACAAAGAAGGAAGTATAGGACAAACATGATTTGGGTCCAGTGATTAATAAGAGGTTCATTTTAATTAGAAGAAACATTTTGGATACATTTGATAAGAATAAATAATCAAACACATGCATACAGATGTGCAAAGAAAGCATTAGGTTATGTGAGGTACTTCAGAATGTGTGAATAGATTCCTCCAGTTGTCTGACAGGGAACAGTGTTCTGATTTTTTTCCCCCATTTGGATCGTCTTTTATTTTTTGCACCTTTCTTTGACCTCCTTCTAAGATATTTTTTTCTGTTTATATTTCTTATTAATTTTCCCTTTTTTTCCCCTCTGTGGTCTTAGGAAATTTTTTTTAACTTTTTTAAACAACTTGGCTGAAAATCAGAAGGATCCAGAATGGCTTCATTTGAAGTGGCAAATAGGAATTCTTCTGATTATGTTTTGATTAACTAATATGCTCAATTTATTAATTGTAACTGATTTGCTTCTTATGGTTAAACATTTTCTATATAACTTGCTTCATGGAAAAAATCTATATGGGTGCTAAGAATCAATACTGACTTAATGGCACATGATCAATCCATCAATATAATGTGCTGCTTATTTCACAACATGTCTTAATTATTTTCTATGTCATCACAATTTTGCCTAAATATTTCAATAACCTTTCAATAATTTTCCCTTTGATGTCATTCTGGTTTAATGGTAATCTATGAGTTTATTGGAATAAATTAACCTAAAATAAATAAATATTTTAAAAAGATTCAGAAACATCTTTTTCAGAAAAACAACTTTCTTCCTCCTTTTTCCTAGTCCCAACAAATGCCACACAGCTTCAGATTGCAAATATGGGAAGCCCCAATCTTGACGTAGGACAAAATGTATTGTGTTAGCCAAGAAATGGGTTGTGAATATAATTGTTTCATCAGCACAGTAGTACCTTCTCTCATATTAAAGACTGAGCTGCCAAATAAGAATAAATCTAAAGTAGCATTTAAAAAAATGTTAAAGTTTCTCTTTCCACTGTTTATAATAACTCAATAGAGTGCTTTTTTTTACTTTGTGTTTGTGTGTGTTTGTGTTTTGTGTGTGTCTCTCTCTGTGTGTGTGAGAGAGATAAACTTGTTTACTTATGCTGCTGCTCTATATGCTTTGATAATGATGATGATGTTTACCTGTGATTCCACCCTACAAACCTCTAAAATTAGTCACAAAATGGTCAGATGTTCCATAAAATATATAGCTTTATTAGGTAAGCTTGTAAGGATCAAAGATTGTAAACTCAAATTATCTACTTGTATCTTGCCTCATTTGGTTTAAGAATCTAAATAATTTAATAAAATTTACTCCGCAAATTTTTGTTGGGCAACAGATTTAAAAAGGAGGTTGTAAAAATTAACAGCATTTAGTAGAAATACTGGGCTTCTCAAATCCTTAAGTAGCTACAATGCTAACTGGATTGATACTCAGACTGCTTGGAAGTTTTTGTAACATTTGGCATTTAAGAATACTGGAGTAGAATGCTAACTTTGATGTAGAACATTAATGGAGAGAATCTGATAACAAATTGATTCCATTTCTTTTGGTAACTAATTTAAAAGCGTATTTCCTCCCAAAATTTTCCTTACTACTGAATTTTATCTTGGTAACTTAATAGTCACCACTCACAATGGTTTCAGATATGACAGACATGTTAAGAGAGTGTGTTTCTTGTTTCTAAATGCATTACCTATACATGGGTGGTTAACATTTAAGTCATTAATTTATAGCCTGTACATACATGGGTTTCTTTCACCCCTATCTTCCTACCAAAATCTGGGAGTAGCACCCGTGTTGGACAGCTCTATTTCCTCTGCATTTGTGTTTCCCTGAGGGTTAATGGGATCATAAATGGAATCCAGCAATCTTCATTTTATTTGCTCTTATATACCATACTATATATACAGAGGTAGTACCTGGCCTACAACCAGAATTGTGGCTGGAACTTCCATTGCAAAATGATGTAGCTATTAAGTGTGTTGCGCCCGATTTTGTGAACTTTTTTCCCCTCAGAGTTGTTAAATTGAATCACATGGCTATGGATCAAATTCAGCTTCCTCCATTGGCTTTGCTTGTCAGGATACCACCACCCTCCAAGAAGGTTGTAAACAACAATCACGTGACTCCAGGTACTGTAACCATCATAAATACATGCTGATTGCCAAGCACCCAAACCTGGTCATATGACTATAGGGAATACTTGTAACCATTGTCATTCGCAATGGTGTCAATTGAAATAATAAATTTTAAAAAGACCCTTTTGTAAGTAACTGGACACAATATATACCATATAATACATACATATTACTCATTTACATATGATGTCTTCTAATGCATATACCAACCCCCCCACACATGGACATCTCTTCCAATCTTACGATTATATGAAATAAAGTTTTACTTAAGTGTTGATTTTTAGCACAAACCATGATGCTGGAGGAAGCTAGGATATATTAAGCATTAATTCTCCATAATTTTACCTACCTTGAAAACAGCTGTTTCATTCATGGAAAATTGGAGCTAGATAAAATCCTCTTTTGAGAGAAAGAAAATCAACATAGCTAGCTCTTTAGCTTTTCTCAGAATTTTTATTTATTTTTTTAATTTTTGTATTTATAGGCACTCAGCATGTCCTCTGACATTCAAACGGCTATCTCTCTGTCACTTTCTTGTCCTGACGAAGTCAACAACTGATTAAATATACACTTTGATGAATGGACAGATCATTCTCCATTAGTTTATAGATGCAGTATTAAACAATTTTCCAGTGAAAGGGCTGCATTTTAAACACATTTATTAGAGGTATAAAATCACAGTATGATGTTGCATGCAACCTGATTTCTAAAATGCTGTGAAATACATTGCTCATCACTGTTATTTTTTAGAAGAATAAAACTAAAAATGAATATAAAGCAAAGACTTAGGAAAATTGTATGGGAATAAATAGCTTCTTTGTTATATTATTTAAAATAATTTAATCCAATTATCATTCTCAATTAACTTTAAGTAACTAAGAAAAAAGCCTAAAATATAACATTTAATTAAAATCAAGATTTTTATAAATACATAAATTTGAAACATATTAAAAGATACTAATGCATATTAATACTACTGAGGGGAAATCAGGTATAAATAAAAACTTACACAGAAAAAAAATCTAACTTTTAGAAGTCAGATTTTATAGCCCACAGCATTTATTGGGTAAATCTATACATAGACATAATTCACATTTTGTTTTTTTTTTTAAATACAGGCACATCTGTTTGAAGAGTTTGATAAGTTCTTCTAATTATGTGATACACGACTCTGCTGCTGTATACAACTGCTTAAAATATCTTTATATAGAAAACCAGGAACTTTAGATATAGATTGATTAAGAAGCATTTAAACATTTATATGAATTGATATCTTTGTCAGGCATGGAATAGTATCTTTTTTTTCAACCTATGATCCAGCATGTAGCAGCTTTGCAAAAAGGAAAGTCTATTTGAGGACTTTCACAACTTCACAACAAAACAAAAAAAACAAACCAAAAAAACCCCACTCATTTGCCTTAATTTCTTTACACCACTTCATTATATAGAATAGATCCTTTGTTCTGTCTCTCCTTACTCAAAATAGAATAAAATCCCCAATATAATTGTCTATTGCACAAAAAAAATAGCTCCAGTCCCCTGATCATTTTGATTGCCCTTTTTCGCAGCTCTTCAAGCTTGATAATAATCCTTTCAAGAGTGAATAATAAGAACTGTACAAATATTGGGAGTCTGGAGAGAAGGCATACTAAAGGAACAAAAATCTTCAGCTAGATTTTCTTATGAATACTTCATTTAGAAAAATAAATAAATAGGAAAGTTGTATAGGAACAACACAGCTTTATAAATTCTCCATAAGGACAAAATAAGAGGAATTTTTTTCTTCCTCTTGCTTATTCCTAGAACCTGAAGTTGATCCAGTGACAATGAATGATGGAAATTTCAGGAGAAGCAAAATGTAACCACATGGCTCCTGGTTAAATTGAGTTTTTGCCGACAGTAAGATATGATGGAGATTGTGAGAGGTGATTAAACAAGTTGCAGTTATCAGTAGCTAATACCCACAATGGCTCACTTATGTTCCCACTTGCTTCTCTCTCTATTATTCACATCAGGAAGAAGAAAAACAATTATGCTTTGTCAGGTACAAAAAAAGAACAGGTCCACTCTGAAGAGCCAATTAAACAGATTTATTGGTACCAACATAACAGAATATTTGTAGCTCAGGGTAGAACTGGTTTATTATAATATTGTAGCTCAGGGTAGAATTGATTTATTGCAAAATGCCTATGCATAGGAATTGCCTCAACTAATGGTTAGATAAGGGTCAACAGAATTCAAAAGGAGAGGGCAGGACTTAATCTGTTTGTGGTTACAAAGGGACTCTAG